ATGTATTACTCTTATCTGTATGACCAAAAATGAGGGAGTATTTTAAGAGACAGTAACCGCTCCGGCGCCTCCATCTGTCCTGCAGTGAGCGCTACTGTTCAGCTTCCACACTCCACACAGACACTTCAATAGCACACATTTTTCTAGGTTAACATTAGATTGAGCGGCCATGTAAAGTTGCTAATACTTACATATTTCAGATGATAAGCAATTTGAGGTGGATGAATGATCCACGAGCGTGCGTTGCATATTGATGTCCTGCCCAATGTACTACTGTATTACCACAAATACCAGCCGTTTACGATCTGTCCGCCACAGACTGCGTGACTTCTACCAAGCCTCTTCTGGTCGACTAACAGTTAGTCAACTATTAGGGGGCAGCCCTAACCAATACACACACATGTATAAATAAAGAAATACACTGATAGTTTCACTTGCGTACACACGGTTACAAGGAAACTGCTTTCCAAGTACGACTAAGGCCTCGTCTACACTGGCATTTTCACTGCGTTTCAGAAATGATCTCCGTCGCGTTTTAAAACGAAAACACACTAGTGTAAATGTAGCCTAAAACATCATTCTGATGATGTAATTTCTGTTATTTCTGAACATTTTTTAAAGCATTCTGTAAAGTCTCGGTTATATTCAAACCTTGGTTTGGGGGAGTTACGATAAACCTTGTTTGACTTTATACACTGCAAAAAAATGCTTTTCTAGCTTAGAACTTTTGTCTTGTTTCCAGCCAAAATATCTAAAAATTCTTAAATCAAGAAGAATTTTCTAGACAAGTAAACATTTTTGTCTTGTTTTTAGAAAAAACAAGTAAAATTTAAGTGAGTTTTTGCTTGAAACAAGCAAAATAATCTGCCAATGGGGTAAGCAAAATAATCTGATTTCAAACAGAAAACGATTATTTTGCTTACCACATTGGCAGATTATTTAGCTTGTTTCAAGCAAAAACTAACTTAATTTTGACTTGTTTTTTCTGAAAACAAGACAATAATTTTTACTTGTAGATATTTTAACTTTGATATTTTTACTACGATATTTTGGCTGGAAACAAGACAAAAAAATCTAAGCTAGAAAAGCATTTTTTGCAGTGTATGTACAAAAAATGGTGTAGAAGAAATTGATAGTAAATTTCACAAATAATTACAGGGAAACAGCAAATAACTATTTGCAAACCTGACTTGTGGTGTTTACCAGTGTTATTTTAGTTTAATTAATATACTATTATAGTAGTTTTTAATATTTTGAAGTTGTTTTTATTTTTATATTTTCTGTTTTCTTTTTCATTTAGTTAAAGTTTTAGTTTTAGTTTTTTTTCTTTTTCCGAATGTCAGTAAAGACATTCTTTTTTGACATTTCTTTTCAGTTTTATTTGTAGTAATTTTAGTACTTTAAATTAAAATAATTAAAAATTACATTTAAAAATTACATTTTAATTATGTTTACGTTTTTTGCCCTTAATTAAAAATAAATGAATATTAGACATTTCCCTTGGCAACTAAATTAAATAAATTAGTTATATTTTACCTTTTTTAAGTATGTTTTTTTTTTATAATTTTTTAAATTTTGGTTTTAGTTTTAGTCATTTTAGTACTTCAACTTAAACTAAACGAAAATAAGTTTAAGTTTGTTAGTTTATTAGTTCATTTTTTGTCTATTTTTATTGGAGAAAACTCTTGATTTTACTGCATTAAATTGCAACATCTCTGCCCATTGTCTTGTTGAATGGCATGTATCATCTCTCATGTTAGCATGTTAAATTCAACCAAAACTGTATTTTTGTTTCCATATTCTACTTTTCCACATTCTAGTTTTCTGCATAATTCAAATGTAAAAATATCTGAAAATAATCAAGGCTTCACAGACTCCTCTAAAAGCAGCCCATTTCACCTTCATGTGAGTGAAACACTGAATACAAGACAGAAATGAGGACGTTTCTACAATCCAGACGTGATTTTCTTGACGATGAACAGGAAAGTCATTACACTTGGATGAAAGACTGTGAAGATAAAGATTAGTTTCTTTAGTATAACGTGTGCTAATGAATGGCTGTTCAATCAGACGTCCATGTAAATCAGGCTGATTTGATGTTGATGTGACGTTCTTCACATGATTGATCTGTACTGGCTGCTTGATTTCTCTGCATCTGATGAATGAACGCTGTTCTGTAACTCATTTTGGTGGTTTATCTCTGCTAAGCATTCACAGATGATTTGCTGATTCGGCTGATTTTGCTGCCGTGTCTTTCATTTCTCAGCCCTTTCTTCCCGTCCCGTGTGTAAACGCAGTCCATGACTGCAGAGCGGCCACTGACGGCTCATTAGAGCCTCATTCAGACACAGCTTCAGTGTGTGAGAGACTGTGGTTATATAACTCAACAGCCAAATGAGTGACGCTTTTATAACGAGCCCATTTAAAAGCAGTCTAACGAGGGAATACCGTGGTACCAGAGCCATGTTCACTATGCTCAAGAGTTTATTCTGACTGATTTGCACATGTTAGATTAATAGTGAAGTGTTGAAGACACATCTAGTGACTTCTTGGTTACTTATTTAGTTTCTGAGACTCGCTGTTTTGCGTCTGCTCTGTTCAGCGAGCGGCTGAGAGGAGCTGTGCTTTCAGTTAAAACAGATATTATGTTGCTTCTCTAATTTTACATTTAAGTATAGCCGAAATCACAGCACAGCTATTGTCTTTATCTTATGTGTATTTGATTTCATCAGACGACGGCTCGATTATAAATGCAGATTAACATCTTGGAAGGGAGAGCTGGTTATGTAATCTTAACGGGTCGCATTTCAGTCACTATTTCATATTCATTCCGTTGTATGACAACAGAAACAGTAAAATATATCTGAATTTGGCTGCATCAAAATACAGTATGTGGGCACAGAGAGGCAAACAAATGTGATAATAAATAATAAATGTACAGCATGTTCAGAAGAAGTAAGGCTTGTGTAAGTATTGCTCAGTGCAAAGAAAGAGAAGTAATGGGAACCTGGTTTTTCTATATTCTTTTTTTCATGTGTCTAATAGACAAGTTCTTTGAAAAACATCTATGACCATGTCTACTCTTTATGCTCTATGTTGAGTATGGTTTTACTAATAATAAACATACATTTGCATAAAGCATCTATATTTGTCCGTGACCATGTTGATTAGAGTAGATGAAAAATGTGAAAAGTATTAATTTAAGGTACATTTAGAAGAGATAAAAATGTGCGATTAAGTTGCGATTAATCACAAGTTAACTCATGACAATCATGCGATTAATCACGATTAAATATTTTAATTGATTGACAACCCTAATATATATATATATATATATGTATTTAGTTTATATAGTTTTTATTTCAGTTTTAGTTTAAATAATTTTAGTACTTCCATGTAAATTGTGGCTTTGGCAACTAAATGAAATTAAAAACACTATAATAATAATTGAAGAGTTCATTTGCAAAAACAGATAACTCCGTTTTTTACAAAAAGTTCAAAAATCATGTTTTGTTTTGTTTTTTTTTGTCCTGCATTCCAATTAATATCAATCAAACTGCAGTTGGGTTGTTTTGATTAAATAATAATAACTAAAAAAAAAAAAATACAGCTGACTAACACAATAAAACACAATAAAAACATGATTTAAGAAAATTAATCAAAACAAGAGTTATCTGTTTTTGCAAATAAACTCTTATTGAACACTAATAACCCCAGTGTTTACATGGTGCTCAGTGAACTTCAAAGAGTCCAGTGTTGTTTTCGTGTCTCTCTCAGTGTTTCTTCCCGTAAACATCACTGGATGAAATGCGTGTGTTGTGTTTAACTGGCTCTGTCTCTGTGTTTGACGTTACACTCTTAAACTCTTACAGACGAATCCCAGACTCAGCGCTGTCCTTCATCAGCTCACGCTCTTTCCGCCTCTTTTATGTGTTTATTCTCCACAGTGAAAGCCTTGTCTTGGTTTAGGCACATTAAAGCATGTGAGGAAGTTTAATGTTGCGTCTGAGCGACATGCAAAGCCATCCATCAGTTCAGCTCATTTAACAGCAGATGTCATTATTATACAATTATAGCTTGGAGCTCACGTTCTCTTTTTTTGTGCAATATGCACTGATGCTTATGCTTTTTGCAAGATGTTGTTATAGGAATTGTATTGAGCAGTGTTTTGGATTCTGTGCTGGGCTCTGATTGGCTGCTGCTTTGATTGACGTGTGTGTGCAGGGTCAGCGCGGTGACGTTGGTCTGGAGGGGAGGGCGGGACTTCCTGGCCCGCAGGGCGAGCTCGGACTTCCTGGTGTCATCGGAGAGGGAGGGCCAGCGGGGTCAAAGGTCAAAAACCCTGAATTCTCCCTTTAGATTTTAATTTTTACTTTGATAATGTATTATATATGACGAAATGTGCAGCACACACAGTATATACTACAGTGTGCACCCTTGACTTTTGACCTGTGCAGGGTGAGATGGGTTTGGCGGGCGACAGAGGACCGGCGGGTGCTAAAGGCATGGAGGGGGCGACGGGAGACCAGGGCGTGAAAGGAGAGCAAGGTGCCAAAGGAGAACCAGTGAGTGTCGTCATTTCTCATGTGTGTATTTACTCCACCTGCCATCAGCCGTCATTATCAGAGTCACATCGTCTTAGGCCACACTTACTGAACAGTACCATGCTTTTCTGGAGATGTAAGGATACTATAGTGTATATACCATGAAAATACTAGGTTGCATGCTAGAGTTTGTCAGGTTATCCTTAACTAAAACTAAAACTATAAAAACAATTTTGTTACTTGAAATGAACTAAACATTAACTAAATTGAAAAAAATAACACTTTATTGTGTATTGTGATTTTTTGTTAATAGTTTATTTTGGTTAGTTTCCGAAATTTCTCATTTTTGTTTAGTTTAAGTGCTGAAATAACTAAAACTGAAATAAAAATGCATAAAAAGCTATATAGACATTAAAATAAATAAATGAATGAATACATGAATAAATAAATATATAAAAATGACAACAATACACAACAAAATTACTAAAATACATTAAAAAGTACATAAAAATATTATAGTAATTTTGTTCAGAATTTTTTTTAAAGTACATATTTTTCTGGTCATGCTAGAAAAAGCTCTTTGTGTATATATAAGTATGTATTTAAAAAGTAGTAAAATAATTCACATCCCAAATGATAAGAAAAAAATGCTTAATCAGACAGTTCAGACCTTTACTTTATTTTGAAATTAATTTAAAAAATATGTATGAATGTGCAAAATTCATATATATATATATATATATATAGTTTAACTGGTACTAAAATAACATGTAAAAATAAAGGAATAATAATAGAAAATGTATATACATAGAAAAATAATAACAAAGGAAAAAACTAAACAAAACAAAATTACTAAAACTATAACTAAAATTAAAGCGAAAACAGAAAATAGAAACATTGTAAATATTAGCAAAAGCTATAATAGTATCTCAGTGATCCTAAAATAACTCTGAATCTGTTATCATGTGATTTATTTATTTATTTTTCTTCCATAAAAAATTGGCAGTCTGATTGCGTTCTTGTGACAGATGACCATAAATCCAGGATTTTTCCTGCACTTGGTCTAAATGTCCACGGGTCTCTTATGTAAGAGTTTGAGTGATTGTAAGCAGATCGCTGAGTAAACATGAGACAAACGAGCTGCTCCGCTTTCTTACATAACTCAGGAAAAGACAATAAAGGCAGGAATCCCAAGCGTCCGGAGCAGGAATATCATCTTACAGGCCGCGGGTGAATGAATGAACATGTGCGACTGTGGATGTTGACTTAAAATAATGTCCTGTTGAAGACGAAAGTGATCCATCGTGTCAGAAACAGACAGACCAGTGGCAGGATCTGACAGAATGAAGAGGGAGAATGTAGTCTGGATGGTGACCCGGTTCTCTGGTTTTTCCCTCAGGGTGAGGTGGGAGACACAGGCATGCTGGGACTCCAGGGCTTTCCGGGACCCAAGGTCAGTGTTCAGCATGAAACCGCATTAAACCAGAGCGGTGGAGATGTGTTCAGATGGCTCACGAGAGATCACAAGAGTCGCTCAAACACACAACAGTTCAAACCACCGCAACACATCACATTGTTCATTAATCAAGAACTTTAGAATTTTATTTTATTTAGAATATATTTTAATTACTTAATGTATTTATCTATCTATTAGTTAAAATGTATTTATTATTTATTTTAATTTAATTTATATTAAATTATTTAATTGAATTTTTTTCGTTTCATACCTTATTTAATCTGTCTATCTACACTTATCTATCTATATACACACATAAATATTAATATTTATTAATTAATATTAGCTTAAAATGTAATTAAAATTTAATTTCAATTATGTAATAGAATTAAAATTAGATTTTAACTATTTAATTGCGTGTATTTATTATAATGTATTTATTTTTCATTAAATTTAAATTAATTTAATTTTTTTTGTCTATCTATCTACACACATAAATATTGAACATATTAGCTTAAAATTTAACTTATTTCATATAATTTAAATTATATTTAAATTATTTAATTTCATTTATTTATTTATCTATTACTTAAAATGTATTAATTATTTAAATTATTTCATTAATTTAAATTATTTAATTTGTATTACATTTTTCTATCTATCTATCTATCTATCTATCTATCTATCTGTCTATCTGTCTGTCTGTCTGTCTGTCTATCTGTCTATATCTATCTGTCTATCTATCTATCTATCTGTCTGTCTGTCTGTCTATATCTATCTGTCTGTCTGTCTGTCTGTCTCTCTGTCTGTCTGTCTGTCTGTCTATCTGTCTATATCTATCTGTCTATCTATCTATCTATCTGTCTGTCTGTCTGTCTATATCTATCTGTCTGTCTGTCTGTCTGTCTCTCTGTCTGTCTGTCTGTCTGTCTATCTGTCTATATCTATCTGTCTATCTATCTATCTATCTGTCTGTCTGTCTGTCTATATCTATCTGTCTGTCTGTCTGTCTGTCTCTCTGTCTGTCTGTCTGTCTGTCTATCTGTCTATATCTATCTGTCTATCTATCTATCTATCTGTCTGTCTGTCTGTCTATATCTATCTGTCTGTCTGTCTGTCTGTCTCTCTGTCTGTCTGTCTGTCTGTCTATCTGTCTATATCTATCTGTCTATCTATCTATCTATCTGTCTGTCTGTCTGTCTATATCTATCTGTCTGTCTGTCTGTCTGTCTCTCTGTCTGTCTGTCTGTCTGTCTATCTGTCTATATCTATCTGTCTATCTATCTATCTATCTGTCTGTCTGTCTGTCTATATCTATCTGTCTGTCTGTCTGTCTGTCTCTCTGTCTGTCTGTCTGTCTGTCTATCTGTCTATATCTATCTGTCTATCTATCTATCTATCTGTCTGTCTGTCTGTCTATATCTATCTGTCTGTCTGTCTGTCTGTCTCTCTGTCTGTCTGTCTGTCTGTCTATCTGTCTATATCTATCTGTCTATCTATCTATCTATCTGTCTGTCTGTCTGTCTATATCTATCTGTCTGTCTGTCTGTCTGTCTCTCTGTCTGTCTGTCTGTCTGTCTATCTGTCTATATCTATCTGTCTATCTATCTATCTATCTGTCTGTCTGTCTGTCTATATCTATCTGTCTGTCTGTCTGTCTGTCTCTCTGTCTGTCTGTCTGTCTGTCTATCTGTCTATATCTATCTGTCTATCTATCTATCTATCTGTCTGTCTGTCTGTCTATATCTATCTGTCTGTCTGTCTGTCTGTCTCTCTGTCTGTCTGTCTGTCTGTCTATCTGTCTATATCTATCTGTCTATCTATCTATCTATCTGTCTGTCTGTCTGTCTATATCTATCTGTCTGTCTGTATATCTGTCTGTCTGTCTGTCTATCTATATCTATCTATCTGACTCTATCTATCAGTCTATCTGTCTATCTATCTGTCTATCTGTCTGTCTGTCTTCACAAACATTAAAAGTATTAGCTTAAAATTTAATTAAAATTAAGTAATTTAATATAATTTTAATTTTTTCATTGATTTATTTATCTATCGTTTACTTAAAATGTATTTATTATTCAAATGATTTCATTAATTTAATCTACTAACAAATAAATATTAATCTACACAAAAATATGTTAATCATAATCGCTTAATTTTTTTTTTTTATCGTAGCAAAATGGAAATCATTAATGTAGTATATGAATTGTTGTTCGTTACATCCATGAGTATCATTTCCATTAATAAAATTACTCCAGAATGTTTAATATTCACGTATGCTTCACAAGTTCACAAACTCGAGACACACTTCATACGGTCAAAATAACCAATCGGCCTTTCAGTCAACCGCTGAAAATGGTTATTAAATGCATCTTTTTCTGAATTTCAGGGTCCAGACGGAGATTTGGGGTTCGCTGGTATTCCTGGACGCAAAGGGCCGGCGGGAGTTCTGGTCAGTCTCTTCATCTTCTCAGTAAATCAATGTGAATGTAGATGTTGTCATCTAATGCGTCTCAATGGTGTGCTGGTGTGTGTTTTAGGGTTTCTCTGGTCCTGTGGGTCCGCTGGGAATGATCGGTCCGGTGGGGAAGCCTGTAAGTGTTCTGATGCTTTATTTATGTTTATGACATGCGTGTTATTCACAATCGTGCATGATGAATGTCAGATAAAGGATGTGTTCGATGCTTTCTCAGGGTAACAGAGGACCCAAAGGAAGCCGTGGAGAGATGGTAAGATGTGCTCTTCATAAATCAGCACTGTTTAGCCTGCTGCCAGATCACAAACTCTTCATCATCATCATCATCAGGAGCCTTCCGCTCTCATAATGAAGTATCCGCTTGTTCGTGTGTAACGGTTGTGTAACAGCGTCTGTATAAACTGCTCAAACACAGTGAGAGATTGACCTGTGGGGGCGCCAGCGCTCCATCACACAACACATTAGCTGCACTTTATCATTGATATACTCTTATAGTTTTATGTTATGTTTTTTGAAGCACAGAATTCATAAGCATATCAGGATATCCAATCCAGAAAGACAATCATCTCATTATACTTTTAATCTGGATACAGCAGGACGACTGAAGCTCTAGTTCAACTGTTTGGATAAATGTTTTAGAGAAACGAGTGAATGTAAAGTTTTGATGATCTCTTTCTACAGGGGCCTCAGGGGCCGCAGGGCAGTCCAGGGCCACAGGTACAAACACACTGTTATAAAACGGAGAGTCCTTGATTCTGATTGGCTGAGCCGTGTTCGAAGCTGTTGTAAATTACTACAAAGTAACATACACCTTTGTTTACTTCTGTGTGTTGCTCGGCAACCACTTTGTTGCAACCACAACTGTTTCTGAGGAACTACATTGTTTGGCGGAAGAATACTGTTTTTATTATTATCATTACAGTTTATTTGCTCTGTTTTATTCTGTGAAACCTTACTATGTATATGGAATAACCGTTTTATAAAAGCAATAAGCCCCGTGAAGCCGTGGTTTACAGTGAATTTATAACAGCTAAGG